GAGGTCAGATCTAGAAATAAAAATCACTTTTTTATCCCCTAAAAAGGCGAGCTTGAAGCATCAAATCACACCCTCAACCCTTATATGCGATCCCGCGACTCCATACACTAGATCAAACATGAAATGGATCAAGATTGCGGAGGATTTACCTGAAGAGAAGCCCAAAATCCAATAAAGGCGAGACCTTTAAGGAAACCTGAACCACGCGCTCGAGGGGCCTGAGAGAAACTTTTTATTTGGAGTTTTTGGGGAATTTCTCAGTCCAAGATCCAAAAAACTGCTTCTTAATACTCCGAAAAGTATACGAGTATAAACTGCTTCTTAATACTCCGAAAAGTATACGAGTATAAACTGCTTCTTAATACTCCGAAAAGTATACGAGTATAAACTGCTTCTTAATACTCCGAAAAGTATACGAGTATAAACTGCTTCTTAATACTCCGAAAAGTATACGAGTATAAACTGCTTCTTAATACTCCGAAAAGTATACGAGTATAAACTGCTTCTTAATACTCCGAAAAGTATACGAGTATAAACTGCTTCTTAATACTCCGAAAAGTATACGAGTATAAACTGCTTCTTAATACTCCGAAAAGTATACGAGTATAAACTGCTTCTTAATACTCCGAAAAGTATACGAGTATAAACTGCTTCTTAATACTCCAATAAGGTATATGAGTATAAACTATTCCCTATTTTTGGTTTGAGAAGTTCCTGGAGAATATTGTTTATAAATATTCTTAAGGATAACTCAACCACACTACGCCGGACAACGCGTTGTGCATAAAGACTCGACGCCACAATCAATGGTCAGCTAAAAATTAGAAAACAGGAATCGACTTCAAGTTCAAAATTTCCGACAAACGGTCAGACAATAAATGCAGCACCGGAACTCTTACAGACTTTCGACAAAGCACCGAAAAGCCTGGAGAACTGAAGGAATCAAGAACGGAAATCATTCCAAGGTCTCATTACACCGACTGAAGGTGGGAGGCAATCATATCCAAAGTATTCCAGACTCTTCTATAAAAGAACGAGACTGAAATACTTTGGAGGGGGTATCTGTAGGCATATAAAATTGCTTATAGGTCCCCTAGCATAGCTCGGCACAAACCGACGAACCAACGAGGCGACGAGATCGACAAATCGCACGCGAACAACGGAATGAATCCACCCGCGTGCAGAATCAAGCTAATGAGTTGAGGAATCAACGAGTCATCCAACCGAGAGCGGACTCGGACGAATCACGATCGAATCAAGATCAATTTCGGACTCGAACTCAGAAGCGGATTTACTGCCAAATCAGGAATCCAACTTACTGCCAAATCAGATCAACCAATCAGAGTCTCAATCAACCGAATCACGGACAGAACCGGAAACAACGGAAAACGACTCGAAAAAGTCGGAAAACACCGCCCGCGGGGGCTCGGCCAAAGCCAAGCCACCTCAAGGTGGCTCGGCCTTAGGTGGCTCGGCACAGTGCCGGCCACCCAGAGGTGGCCGACAGTGGCCGACAGTGGCCGACAGTGGCCGACATGTCTCTGTGCGCGGGCACAGTTCAGAAAGCCTATAAATAGGCCAGGCAATGTTCATTTTCGGAGGTCGAACTTTCAAGAGCCGAAACTCTGCCGGATTGAAGAGTGAACTCGGAGCTTTGAAGACTTGAAAACTTGCACATTCGGATCTGATCCTCGGCGAGCATCCACGTCAGAAAAGGCAGGATTTCGAGAGGAAGAAAGAACAGATCTGAGATCTACACGAAATCACACTCCAGATCTAAGCTTGGTCTTAGATCTCGAGATCCGAGCGATTATTCCCTTGGTGGATTAATCCCTCTCGGCTATTATTCCCTTCGTGGAATAATACCCGTATAATCGTGTAGATCCGACCGGATCTAGATCGCGCGGTGGTCCACGGATTAACCCCGGCGCAGGCAAAGAACCCACCAAAGCGAGCGACCGCAAAACAGGAGCTCGTGATTTGTTCACAGAAGGAAAGTTGTAATTTTCACTTTTTTTCTTTGATTTAGTTGTAACCGGATCTATAAAAGACCGGATCTTTGTAATCCAAGATGACAATTATTTCAATGAAAAAGACAACAGTTTTCCCCGAGAACAACCACTAGACCACCTCTCTTCACCGGTAGCAACTTTGCATATTGGAAAGCTAGGATGAGAATTTATTTACAATGCATTGACCTTGACATTCTAGATATCGTAGAAAAGAAATATGTTAAGAAGTCCGGTGGTAAAATGACCAAGGATGAGAGGACTAAAGCCAACCTTAATATCAAGGCCATGAATGCACTAATTTGTGGTCTTACCCCCAATGAGTATAAGAGAGTTTCAACGTGTGCAACCGCACATGAGATTTGGGTGAAGTTATGCATTACCCATGAGGAAACCCCCAAGTGAAGGAGTCTAAGATCAGTGGACTTATGCATGATTATGAACTATTTAAAATGCTTCCAAGTGAATCTATTGACTCTATGTTTTCTCGGTTCACTAACATTATAAATGAATTGCATGGTCTTGACAAGGTCTTGGAAAATCAAGAGATGTGTTACAAAATTCTTTGCTCTTTGACGCCGGCTTGGGAACCTAAAGTTATGGCCATCGAAGAAGCTCATGATCTCTCAACTCTCACTCTTGATGGACTTATTGGCAAACTCGAGGTCCATGAAAAGAAGGTCAAGGAGAAGGAAGAAGCTCCCACAAAAGCAACCGAGGAGCCACCCAAAAAATCAAAGTCCATTGCGCTCAAGGGAGAAATTGATGATTCATCATCCTCGGATAGTGAAGTGATGTTTCTAGAGAAGTGGTACACCTCTCTAGAAAAATATCAAGACTAATTAAAATGAACAAAAATTTCAATAATCAATCTAACAACAAATTTTCTCCTCGTATACCTAAATGTTTTGAATGCAACGAACCAGGTCACCTAGCCAAGGATTGTCCCAAGCTCAAGGAGAAGTATTTGAAATACAAGAAGAAGAAGGCAATGTATATTGGTTGGGATGAATCCGAACCAAGCGATTCAGATAACGATGATGAGGGCGCCAAGATTGCTCTTCATGACCCAAACATTTGTTTTATGGCTCACGAAGATGAGGTACAATCCGAAACCGAAAGTGAATCCATTTATATGCAATGTGAACTAGAAGCGACCTTAGAAGAATTAAATTTTGAGTTTAAAAGATTAGCAAAAGAATATTCTTCATTCAAAAAATTATATGTTTCTTATGATTCTAAGTTTGAGCAACTACAATCATCTCTTGCTTTAAAAGATGAAATGATAGGAGATCTAGACTTTGAAAACAAGCAACTAAGATCTAAGGTTGAAAGATTAGAAATTGAAAACAATAAAATTAAGTCTAATCATGGTTTTTTAAGTCATCATCATGTGGATAGAAAATGATATCATCAATCTCATGCTCCTACATACAAGAAAAAGCTTTTGTGCACATATTGCATGAAACATGGTCATATTTATACTCATTGTAGGATTAAAAATAACATTGATCATTATGAGCTAATATGGGTGCCAAAGGGTACCAAAAATACTAACATTCAAGGACCTAAAGCTTGGGTACCTAAAGGTTCTACAACTTATTTATATGTAGGGAACATCTCGCATAAGACGTAAGGAGTTGTGATACCTTGATAGTGGTTGCTCTTATCACATGACGAGCAATAAGAAATTATTTACAACCCTATCAAGGATTGAAGGAGGCAATGTCTCCTTTGGTGGTGGTGAGAAATTTAAAATCATAGGAATCAATTCTATTGATAAGAAACCTTCTCCCGTAATTGAAGATGTTTACTTTGTTAAAGGTTTAAATCATAATCTTCTTAGCATTAGTCAATTAAGTGACAAAGGTTTTGACATTATTTTTAAATCGGACAAATGCGTTATTAGTAAAAATGACAAAACCATTTTTGTTGCTTTTAGAAGGTCTAATGTTTATGTTTTTGAGATGAATAAGCTTTTAGATCAAGATGTAAAATTCATTGCCGCGGTAGATGGGGATCCTTAGATTTAGCACAAGAGACTTGGACATGCTAACATGAAGCTTATATCTAAACTATCCAAGAAGAATTTAGTGAGAGGGCTACCAAATCTATCTTATGTTAAGGATTCTACTTGTGAGGAATGTGCTAAAGGTAAACAAACTAAGACTTGCTTCAAATCCATAAATAAGGTATCTACTTCTAAACCTTTACAATTATTGCATCTTGATCTCTTTGGTCCCATGCGTGTTGCCTCTCTAGGAGGAAAACACTATGGTTTTGTTATTCTTGATGATTTCTCTCGTTTTACATGGGTGATTTTTCTTGCTAGTAAAGATGAATGCTTTGAAGAGTTTTCTCTTTTTGTAAAAAGAATTGAAAATGAAAAGGATTCAAAAGTTGTTAAAATTAGAAGTGATCATGGTGGAGAATTTCAAAATAAATTCTTTAATGATTTTTGTGCTCATCATGGTATAACTCATGTGTTTTCCGCTCCTAGGACACCCCAACAAAATGGTGTTATTGAACGAAAAAATAGAACCATACAAGAGATGGCACACATAATGTTGAATTCTGATGATTTGCCAAAATATTTTTGAGCAGAAGCCATTAACACGGCTTGCCATATTTTAAATCATGTTTTAATTAGACCCTCTCTCAAGAAAACTCCTTATGAACTTCTTTATGACAAAACCCCACAAATTGGATATTTTCGTATTTTTGGTTATAAATGTTTTGTCTTAAATACTAAAGATCATCATGATAAGTTTGATTCTAAAATTGATATTGGTATATTTTTGGGATATGCTCCTAGAAGTAAGGCTTATAGGGTTTCAACAAACGAACTCTCGTTGTTGAAGAGTCTATAAATGTTACTTTTGATGAATCTAATATTAGTTTTCAAGATGATTTGCCTAGGGATGATGATGCGATTGAGGAACAAATGGAACTTTTGTAACTAAAGGACAAACCCTCAACGGAAGAACCAAATGATGGGGAGAGCAATAATAAACAAAATCAAGAAGAACTCCCGAAAGATTGGAAGTTTGCACCGGATCATCCTAAGGACCAAATTATAGGGAGCTCATCCAAAGGCGTTTTGACTCGCTCAAAAGCTATGAGCGAATGTGTAAAGTAGCTTTTCTATCCCAAATAGAACCCAAACGTATTGATGATGCTTTGAAAGATGAGTTTTGGGTTTTAACTATGCATGAAGAATTAAATAATATTTAAAGAAACAATGTTTGGAAATTAGTTCCTAGACCAAGTAACACTTCTATTATTGGAACTAAATGGGTTTTTAGAAATAAGCTTAATGAATTTGGTATTGTCACTAGAAATAAAGCTCGTTTGGTTACCCAAAAATACAATCAAGAGGAGGATATAGACTATGATGAAACTTTTGCACCAGTTACAAGATTGGAATCTATTAGGATGTTTTTGCCCTTTGCAAGTTTCAAAAGTTTTAAATTATTTCAAATGGATGTCAAAAGTGCTTTCTTAAATGGTTTTATTGAAGAAGAGGTTTATGTTGAGCAACCCCCTGGCTTCATTGATTCATCTTTTCCAAATCATGTATACCGGGTTCAAAAAGCTTTATATGGGTTAAAACAAGCTCCTAGAGCTTGGTATGCTCGCCTCTCATGTTTTCTCATTGAAAATGGCTTTACAAAAAGAACTATTGATAATATACTTTTTTTTTAGAAAAAGGAAAAATGATTTTATTTTAGTTCAAATTTATGTGGATGATATTATTTTTGGTGCCACTAATGAATCTTTGTGCAAGGAATTCTCTAAAGTAATGCAAGATCAATTTGAAATGAGTATGATGGGAGAGCTCACCTTCTTTCTCGGTCTTTAAATTAAACAATCCAATGATGACATATTCGTATCACAAAGCAAATACGCTAAGGAATTGGTGAAAAAATTCAGGATGGAAAGCTCAAAACATGCCTCAACTCCTATGAGCACTACCATCAAGTTAGATGCGGATGATAATGGTGAAAAGGTAGACCAAAAGCTATATCGAGGTATGATAGGTAGTCTTCTTTATCTCACTGCTAGTAGGCCGGATATTATATTTAGTGTTTGTACATGTGCACATTTTCAAGCTTCTCCTAAAAAATCTCATTTGATTGTGGTTAAAAGGATTATCAAATACATTAATGGCACCTTAGAACTTGGTTTATTCTATCCAAAAAATACTTCTTTTGATCTTTATGGTTATTGTGATGCCGACTTTGCCAGTTGTAGGGTGGACCGCAAAAGTACGAGTGATACTTGTTAATTTTTGGGTAACTCACTTGTATCTTAGGCATCCAAGAAACAAAACTGTGTTGCCTTGTTCACTACGAAAGTGGAATACATTACCGTTGGCTTATGTTGTGCATAACTTTTGTGGATGAAACAATATTTGGTTGATTTTGATTTATACTTTCATGATACAAAGATTTTTGTGATAATACAAGTACTATAAATATTTCCAAAAATTCGGTTTTGCATTCTAGAACCAAACATATAGATGTACGATATCACTTCTTGCATGACCATGTTGAACCAAAAGATGTTTCTCTTATTTATATTGACACCAAATCTCAATTAGCGGACATCTTTACCAAACCCCTTTATGAAGTTGATTTTTGCCGCATTAGGAATGAATTGGGCATGTGCATTCTTTAAAAATAATTTCTTTTTGCCATTTTGTTTTCTTGGTTTCCTTGCTCTTCTATTGTCATATCCATATTTTCTTTCTTGTTCCTTTAATGTCATATCATGCTCAAGCTCACATATGTACCAAGAGGAGTGTAAAGGTGAGAGACCGGGGTCGTCTCAAGAGGAGTGGGATAGGTGATAATGCCTAGTGGTAAGTTGTAATTCCTAACACTTGTGGGAGACACGGGTAGGCCAACACTTGAGGTGCATTGTGTGATTTCTTTAGCATATGTCTTTATGCTTTCATTAGCCTATTTTTGATGGTGACAAAGGGGGAGAGAAATCTCCTAATTTGTGCACATAGAAAGGGGGAGCCTTATAAATAGGGGAAGCAACTATCTATAAGCCAAATAATCTATTTTATTTGCTCTCGTATAATGGTTGTTTGTCATCATCAAAAAGGGGAAGATTGTTAGGTCATTTATTTTGATGATGATTTACAAACACCATTATTGGTGCTAATTGTGTATTGAGCTATATTGTAGATTACAATTCATTAGCACCATATATGGAGGATTGGATGTAATATGAGCTACAACGACGATATCTAAAGGAGGTGGAGGCAAAGTGATGAAGCAATGTTTATCAAGAACACCATATGCAATAAGAAGCTTCATCAACTCAAAAGCAATATCAAGACTCAAGAAATGTATTTATATGTGAGAGATATTTACTACTTTTATTTTCTCTCTAGTGCTAGAATGTAGGCAAGAAGTTTATTGATTACATTTGAAGCTCATGGGATAACACACTTGCACATTTTCAAAACTTGTATTTTGATACTTTTGCTAAATTGATGATTTTCACAAATACGAGGACCTTTTTGTAAAATTCTTTTTCAAACAAGTTTGTCAAAATGTTTATAAACTGTTTACAAAGTTTCACATTTTTTAGAATTTATTTATTATTTTTTATAGAGCATTGAAATTCAATTTCAAAATCGATTCAGGCTGATAACATGTTATCAGTCGACTGATGAAGTCAGTCAACCGATGTGTCGACTAATGAAAGTGCCCAGAATCATGATTTTGCACTCTGTTTTGTTTTGGTCGACTGACCAGTCGACTGAAATGATCATCAGTAGACTGATGCGCTGGATATCGTATAAAACGTTCAGCTCATCAGTTGGCTGATGCTTCCCGTCAGTCGACTGATGGGTACTGTAATGACTATATTTGTACAGTTTTAGAAATCCAATTTTCTTAGGATTCTATCTGCTTCTTTTGGGTTTTGGCTGCAGTATTCTCTCCTTATAAATACCTAACAACCCCATCTACCTTAGTACAAAGCTTTCATTGCAAATTACTTGAGTTTAAGTTTATTGTTTTCAAAAGAGCTTCAACTTTTATTTGCTTTCACTATTTCTAAGTTCACATCCCAAGCTTCAAT